TTATTGACATATATATACTGTATTTTTTTTTTATTGACATATATATATATATATACTGTATTTTTTTTTTATTGACATATATATACTGTATTTTTGTTTATTGACACGTATATATACTGTATTTTTTTTTATTGACATATATATACTGTATTTTTTTTTATTAACATATATTTATTGTATTTTTTTTTATTAACATATATTTATTGTATTTTTTTTTATTAACATATATTTATTGTATTTTTTTTTATTTACATATTTATATACTGTATTTTTTTTTATTGACATATATGTACTGTATTTTTTTTTATTTACATATATATACTGTATTTTTGTTTATTGACACGTATATACTGTATTTTTTTTTACTTACATATATATACTGTATTTTTTTTTTATTGACATATATATATACTGTATTTTTGTTTATTGACACGTATATATATATATATATATATATACTGTATTTTTGTATATTGACATATATGTATATATGTGTACAAAAAGTATGTATTATCATTTTTGTATTTTTGTATTTTTTTTTTTTTTTTTTTTTAATATGTACAAAAAGTATTGATCGATTTCGTTATAGAAATGAAAAAAAAAAGAAAAAAATAGAAACTATAATTGTAATAAAAATTAACAGCTCTTTTAGAACGGCGAAACGAGCTATTTCCCAATCAGGTGTGGGAAAAATATTCCCATTGGAACGAAGTACGAGCTTAGGACCACCACCACCATCAAGTTCGGTTGATAATGTGCCACATTCGGCACCACCAATCAAAAATATCACCACCACCACCGATAAGAAGCTCTGACGACTCACACGCTGCCGCTCTTTCTTCGAATCTTTGCATTAATTTTAACGATTAATATATTTCATTTAATTATTTAATTGTATTAATTCATTTTATAGGTTGTCTTTTCTTTTTTTTTTTTCTTTTTTTATTAATTAATTTGAATTTCAATTTATCTGACTGACGTGCCCGATTTTTAAGTGCAAAACAAAAAATAGAAACAAAGAAAACATTTGTATCATTTTTACGTTCAAATCTTACGTCATAGTTGTGTGAACGACTACGTTAATCGTATTAATGATTGTTATGAGTAATAATATTACGTTATTAGTAATAATAATAGTATCAGATTTTTATTTTTAATAATTAGAAAATTTATTTTTTTATTATAATATATATATATATATATACATCGTTTCGAATTGAAAAATAATTCGAAAATTTCCAATCACACATTGTTGACTTTGTCAATGTGATTACATCATAACAAATCCTTTTTTTTTTTCAAATCGCATAATCGTAATAATGTATTACGTAAAGTATAAGAAAAAAAAAAAAGGAAAAAAAAAGAAGAGTATTCGTTTATTATCGATTGGATAATATACAAGATGTATAAAACACCACCACGTCACTAGCATTTTTTTAAATTTAACATTGTCTTGGTTTTTTTTTTTTTTTAATTTTTTGACTGATAGTGACTTGCAATTTAGGTTAAGTAACTTGATTGATAACTTTGCGTTACTATGATACGAAAAAGAAATGAAAAAGAAAAAATGTATTCGTTTAAACTATTGTATGATCTCAAATAATTGTTGTTAATATTTTGAAAGATGAATTATATTCTAACGTTGAACGTAAATTAGTGTTCATATATATATATATATATATATATATATATAGGGGAATGTAAAAATAAAGGGTTCAATATTAAAAGGGTTTATAATACTTGTTAATAATATGTTGCCAAAAGCATATAAAACTTTCATAAATAATAACAATTAATTTACATCGAAAAGGATTAATTTTAGGATCCATATTAACACGTTCGTCGCTCAGTTCGTTTATGAGGTTAAGTTTCTCGTCAGGCCCAAAATTCGACTGTCGCGACATGTTGGCGTGCCTACGTAACGTAAAGAAGCGATAAGTAGAAATATCAATAATGTGACACCCGAGTATTATTGTTATATTATTATATTATTATATTTTATTTAGGGAAAATAATAAAATATAAAATCCGACTAAAAATCCTGTAACTTCAAGAAGAAGAACGTCACCGTATGCGGTGACGAAGCCCCCCAAAGAAGCATACTCTTCACCGTATATGGTGACATGGCGACTAACGTGTTAATTAAACATTTTTTTTTACTCATTCAATGAATACTTTAAATCTTTCACATTGCGAACCCTTTTTTTTTTATCACCCTGTATATAAAATTTATATATATATATATATACTATATCGTTATTAATATTTTTGTATTGTATAATTATCGTTCCCTCTCTTATCGCTATCATTATTAAAATTATTATTATTATTATTATTATTATTATTATGCATTTTTTTTTAATTGGTTACAATTAATTAATCATACGTGTGAACATGTGAAGAAAAAACAAAAAAGATAAATTACATTAAAATTGTTATTAAACAAATGAAATATAGATTTGAAGTATTAGAAATGATTGCGCAAAAGTATTATTATATTTATTAGTTATTACAAACGCGTTATCTATATGAGATAAATTTTAGATAAATAATTGTAACAATTTTCTTTTTTTTGATCAACAATCTTTTTTTTTTTTTTTTGATTTAATTCAATTTTATTTATCCTTTTTTTTTAATTATTTCTTTTTCCATTTTTTTGTTCTGTTTACTCACGTCAGTGAAATTTTACACACACGCGACTCTCCTTTTACATGGTCAGTGTAAAAATTAACGAAATAAATAATATTATAGATATATGTATATATATAAACTACATAAATGTATATGTATATGTATATATATATATATACGTATATTTTATCGAAGGAAAGTGTGTTACGAAAGTCCTGTATCGTAAATTTACTACATTTCTCATAAACAAAGAAGACTGTAATAGAAAAAAGGAATGTTAAACTAATGAAACAAATGAAATTCGTGTGTCGATTATTTAAACAAAACAAATATATATATATATATAAATATAAACATAAATACCTAATATTTGATTGTCGAATTTGCTTAAGAAAACAAAAAAAAACAAGTAATTAAAACAAGAAATACGACAAATATTCCTGGCATGGTGATTCGTTCCAAAATAAAATTATAAGACAAATCTTCTATATATATATATATATATATATATATATATATAAATAGAAACTATGAATAGGTTTGCGCCATTGTTGTCTCCCTATCGACTGATAATAATTAGTAGTATCGTGTGTATAAAAATTTAACATATTCATTTATTAAACGTACACACACATACATACACAGAAGGTAATTCTTACCTTACATACTCTTACAAATTAGTTCTTAAAAAAAAATAATAATAATAATCAAGCATTACGTGTGTGCATATAATTCCTTCATATATATTTGACTGTTTATATTGTTATATGGCATGTGAGAATATAGTTCTATATTATATACATATATAGATATATATATATATAAATCTATAAAAATCATCGTTAAAATTAAATCATCGTCGGAACTATATAAAAGATACGCTCAGAATAAAAAAAAAAAAAAAAACAAACAAATAAATAAATTTAGATCGTTTGAAAGAAAAAGAAAAAGTAAGATTATAATAAAATTGACTACGATTAGCAAATT